AATGACAAGAATACAAAAGTTATCATAGAACAATAACACAATGACGGGATGTATAAGTACAGAGCCACGCCAAATGGATATCATCAAAAACAGACTAAAAACTAAAAGTTATATTCATAAAGACAAATAAGTATTAGATACAATACAAAGATAACAAAGAAACAGGCCGGTAACAACCGTTGCCGGATAGTTTTTCTGCACAAGTAGTCAGGTCAAGGTACGAGGCGATAGCCGAGGACCTTGACCTGACTACAAGTGCAGAAAAACTATAGGGCAGGTTGTTTCCGGCCTGTTTTTTGTTACTTTTGTTTTGTATCTGACTTGTACGACGTTTCAAGAAAGAAGAAGTACATTTTGCATTTAGAAGAAGTAGCAAAACTAAACATATTAGAAACTTAAATGGCCATATACAAGTTAATGTAAGTTACTAAGTGACAGTTAAAACAATTTTATTCACTTCCCTTCAGCCGAGTTTTTTTTCTCAAAAATTCAAGAATCTAATAACTTTATACAAAATAACCATTTCAAGTAAAAGATGAATGTTGCACATATTTGAGACTTTTTAAAATGCAACTTCGCAAGTAAGCAATGTATGAAAAAAAATTAGGTAAGCAAGCTACCATTTGATTTTTATTGGGGAAAAACGGAAAGGGGGTGGGGGTGGGGGGGTAAAATAAATTTAAAATAAACAGGCTTGATTCTTCTTTTTGTACGTTTGCCGTCAAATATATGAATTCAATATATATTAATTCAATACTGATGAAGTCAATAACAATATAAATGTATCAAAAGAATGAATTTCCTATTCCATTAGTGAATGAAATGTTATGAAAAATGGATTTCGTCTTGTTATTAGAGATATATAGGCATATATTTTGGATTTTAAAAAAATCATGCTTATAGGTTTTTATATGTCTCTGTTAGTGTTGAGCAGGATTAAACACGTGTCACTTTATGATCCAATCGCAGCTTACCGTCCAAAATTGATGACATAAGTTGAATGATTTTCTTCAAAATTTGCTGCCTATTTGAACATGTATTACACGGACACTTTTTATCCATAGGATCAATCGTGCATTGGTGAGTTGATAGGGATTTTATCTTTTGATTAGATTTGATTTTTTATATATATTTCCTGTCTTTTTTATTGAAATATAAACGTCGGTGCCGGCATTTCTTTACTTGCAGAATACTATTCATGTCTTGAAAAAAAAAATACATTTACGGACCGACCATTTAGCTTCAAAAAGGGGGTATGTTCTTTTCTGAGTAAGAAATTTATTTAGTTTTTCAACGCTATCACCCAAATATTTATTTTTCGAAATTGGCACTAGTATATACGCTATTCAGAAAATCAGGAATCAGAACATTATTTTGTAGTCTAAGGAATTGACCATTTAACTTCAAAAGGGGGGGTTATGGTTTTTTTGCTCAAAAAATATTTTGATCCCCAATTTTATGAGACAAAATATATTGTGTCAAGCAGATGACTGATATGAATAGTAATTTACTGGAATTGTAAGAACAAAATATAGTTATTGATACTAACGTAAATATTTTAATTAAAAAGACAGGAAATATGTCGGTGAAACAAAAAGTTCAAATCTGATTGAAATTTAAAGTGCCCATGAACTGACTGATCATGCACGAGTGATTCTATTCATACAAAATGTCCGTGTAACAACTAAAAAGTGTCCGTGTACCATCTAAAAAGTGTCCGTGTAACAACCGTTAATGTACTATTTTTTCTATAGCTCTGCTGGGGGCAAAGTCGTACAAAAAAATACTATTACACGTTATTAAGATAATAAACAACGTCAGTACCCAGAATCTATACTTCAAGACCATCGTGTACTATTTGTGAAATTGATGCAGAATATTTATCAACAAGGTCTTGGCACCTTCCAATGATTTTTTTAGAAAAAGGACGAGACGTTCTTTGACTTATCCCTGGTTCATTAACTTTCTACTTTGATACTGGTGACGTTTTACAAAGTCTGAGAAGGAGCTGCAAGCTCTTGAATACCGAATAATTTGGGAAATGTAAATCCCATATACAGGTGAAGTTGGTATATTGCTACTAAGGTGGGGGATTTTGATAATTTCAAAATTAAAATCGTCTCGTTTGTCATAGATTCTGGTACTGAGATGACCGTGTATGTAAAATTCGAGGTATAAGTCTAAAAATGAGGCGGAGGAAGCAGTATCTGTTGTTTCTTTTAAATTCTAGTTCTGGGGGATATTAATTATTATTAATGGAACCCAATCAGAAAAGTTTGGATTGTTAATGGAAAGAACATCATCAATATATCTGAATGTGAAATTAAATGACCTGGCTTCTTTGATCTTCTTGTTTTTGAAAAGAGTCTGAAGGAACTCCGATTCATATGAAAATAAGAAAAGGTCGGCAAGGAGAGGCGCACAGTTTGTTCCCATAGGAATGCCGACAATTTGTTGAAAAATTCTACCTCCAAATTCAACAAATATGTTGTCAATAAGAAACTCCAGCATACTGACCACTTGTTCCTCTGTGTAGCATGTTTTACCTTTTTGTTCACTATTAACAAAATATGCCGTATGGTATCCCAAAGTAATAAATGTATAGCGTATGCTACCATTTTTATGTTGAAAAGCATTGTGGATTATTTCTTTTAGACGATTTTTCAATTTCATATGGGGAATGGTGGTATACAGGGTATATACAGGCGCTGCTGGAATGTTGCTACATAGAAATGGAAAGTTCCCAACTGGGAAGCTGAAATCATCTCTTTTGACGCAAAGTTTTGTTTTCAACAGACCCTTATTGTCAGTTTCTTGATGTAAGTGAAGATATGAGGCAGACTTAACTGTATCTGTTGTATCCTTTATCTCTAGTTCGATGGGATAGATGCGTTCGACATAGTCACCAAATGTTGAATTATTTAACGAGAGAACTATCTTGATTATACTAAAATCACCAAATCCAGTCATAGGACCCAAACAAATTTTACACGCCATACGTCTATAAAATCGTAGCATTCTGTAAAAGACGAAGCATCCACCGAATGAATGCTGTGCGTTCAGGGCCGTAATCCACTTACAAACGGAAGATACCAATGATGTCATAGGGTTTGACAATATATATGTACCAATCTGCTATGTTTGATGTTTTATCACTGGAAAATTCGTATCGAATAGCACGGAAGTATCATAGTGATGTCAAAGGTGGAGCAGGAACTGTTAACCTTTCGGCGCATATGATGATACGCATAAATTTGTATTATCCTACATTTGGCCAAGTTTTTAGATAATTAAATTACCAATTTCTGGCAGTGTATAAATTTGGTGAAGTCATATGATTATAATATACAAGAGTGCATACGCTGAAATGTCTCGCCTTCTTTACTAATCATTGATATTATGTTGATAGTCCTAAATATAAAGCTTTACTACAACTATCACATAAACTTAACATGATCCAAGAAAATGAGGTCAAGGTCATATAAACTAAACAAGAAATACATGTACACCTTACAATCATTCAATACACTAAATATAGTTGACCTATTGCTAACAGTATCTGAGAAAATGGCCTAATCACGTAAAGAGTAAAATAACAAAAATACCGAACTCCAAGGAAATTTCAAACTGGAAAGTCCCTATTCAAATGGCTAAATCAAAAGCTGAAACACATCAAATAAGAAACAGACTTAACCCAGAAAACTAAACATTGACAAATGAACTATGAAAATGAGGTCAAGGTCATATGAATCATGTCAGGCAGACATGTACAGCTTACAATTCTTCCATACAACAAACATAGTTGACTTATTGCTTATAGTTTAAGAAAAACAGACCAAAACACAAAAACTTTACACTGAGCAATGAACCGTGACAATGAGGTCAAGGTCAAATAAAACTATGAACCTGACATGTACATCATAAAATATTTCAATACACCAAATATAGTTGACCTATTGCATATAGTATTAGAAAAAAAGACCAAAACTCAAAAACTTAACTTTGACCACTGAACCATGAAAATGAGGTCAAGGTCAGATGACACCTGCCAACTAGACATGTACACCTTACAATCATTCCATACACCAAATATAGTAGACCTATTGCATACAGTATAAGAAAATTAAACCAAAACACAAAAACTTAACTATAACCACTGAACCATGAAAATGAGGTAAAGGTCAGATGACACCTGCCAGTTGAACATGTACACCTTACAGTCCTTCCATACACCGAATATACTAGACCTTTTGCCTATAGTATCTGAGATATGGACTTGACCACCAAAACGTTACCTTGTTCACTGATCCATGAAATGAGGTCGAGGTGAAGTGAAAACTGTCTGACGCGCATGAGGACCTTGCAAGGTACGCACATACCAAATATAGTTATCCTATTACTCATAATAAGAGAGAATATACATTACAAAAAATCTTAACTTTTTTTTCAAGTAGTCACTGAACCATGAAAATGAGGTCAAGGACAATGGACATGTGACAGACGGAAACTTCGTAACATGAGGCATCTATATACAAAGTATGAAGCATCCAGGTCTTCCACCTTCTAAATATAAAGCTTTTAAGAAGTTAGCTAACGCCGCCGCCGTAGCCGTCGCCGCCGCCGGATCACTATCCCTATGTCGAGCTTTCTGCAACAAAAATTGCAGGCTCGACATAAACCAGTGTTACTGATGAGTATTTTTCAGTAAAGTTTATTTGTGGAGTGTTTTTTGCGTCTTCGTCTATTTTTCTTTTTTGTCATGATGTTGTTTGATTTTTTTTGGATCAGTTCTTTTTGTGATTGCCTCCCTGGTATATCCTGTACTTTACCATTACATTATGCTAATATAAAAACAGCACAAAAGCGCTTACCGTAATTGAACTATTTACATTATTAATGGCGACACTGATTTCTATTCCAACTAATACATACTATTAGTTAAAATGATATGATACTTCAACAAGTAGTCAAAATTATACATTAATTAAACAATTTATCGATAATGTTTTGTCATTTATTTGAAAAACAAACTACATAAAATGAAGATACCATTTTTATGACCAATGACTGGTGAAGAATGTTAGTGAAGTTTATTTGGCTAACGATTGTTTGTCTTTCTTTTATTGACATATTTACAAATTACTTTTTAAAGGAAAAGATTATACATTCATACGATATCGAATGTCTCAACGAAACAGGGTGTACAGTTTGCGAAATTTTCAAATGAAAATATTTTGTTAGCGGCATATGTTTTGACTAAATATGATGAACACATATTAATTTTTAGTTTAAATATAAATGGCATTAAAAAAAAGATAAATGGTGATATATTCATGGTTCTTAATCGCAAAAGTTGTAGTATAACTTGAACTGGTGACAATCTTTCAAAAATCTTTAAAGACCTGAATTTATTGATGTCTTATTCTAGTAAACCATGCTTAATAACTGATCTTTTATTTTGATGAAGATTTATATAATGCAGTTGCTTTCAAGTTGGTATTCCTTTCCTTTATTGTTTTCCCTTTTCTTTAATTTGCATACTGCGTTAGTCAAATCCGTACAATTTTACCTTTAAAACTTTTTTTTAATTTGTTTAACCAATATATCATGTTAGTATGTAGGCGTTGCAACAAGAACAACAATATTGGCTATCGCACAAATTTTTCTCTTAAATAATTTGCACAGGATGGAGCCACACGTTTCAAAGCAACAACAAGGGAGTAAACTGTTTTTACACTTGAATTAGCTTTCCATTTACGTAATATGTCATAAGTCTGATCAAACATGTTTCTTGAATATTCGACCATTGATTCTTGTAATTCATTAAAGCTGAGTCCTAGTTCAATGCCCAACTGGATAGCACGATTTCCGATGCGTTGTGCTACCTCCTTCAATACATCGTCGCTTGGTATGTCATGCAGCGAGTCTGCCACATCTAGAACAAATAAAACTTGATTAAAAAGTTAACACTTTGTTGATCATAAGTAAGAGACACGAGAAGTTAAAAATGTTCAAACGCGTCAATTAATTATAAACACATCAACAAAGAAAAAGTCACAAGGGAAAATTGTTGATTCCAAACGAAGTGAGAACATTTACGACGGCAGAGTAGTCGTCTTTTTCTGTACATGCATCGTCCAATATTAAAACCAAACCTCGGTCAAAATATTAGTATATGTAAGATAATCGGCAATTCTTTTGTCTTAAGAAGATGGACCGGTAAAACGTATCTCGGTAAATGTGACACATCGTATCACTGCAGGGTTGTGCATTATCATGATAGTATTTATTCTTTTATCAATTTGTATCAATCTAAAACGAAAACATGTATGCAAGCATTATCATGATAGTATTTATTCTTTTATCAATTTGTATCAAACTAAAACAAAAACATGTATGTAAGCACTTCTTATACAAGAAAGATTTACCCTAATGCATGAAACAAAAAGGATATGATCGTCTAAAAAAATGTATCAGAAGTGAAATATGCATATTCTATTACCAGTTAATGCATGTGTTTAACAAGCAGCTTTATCAATAACATTCGGAAATGTATATTATGTATTTACATTTTACCGGTTAGTTAATAAGCATTTTTTAAGAATCTTAAAACATTTGAATGTTTTTATTTATGTTTGAGGACATTTTTTTTTAATGTAATTTGTTTCTTATCTTTCTTACTGGAAAGAGTACAGGTGTCCCTGATACCACCATATACTAAACGGATCATTTTGTCTTTGAAATATTTTTCAATGGATGAAAGCAACCAGCAATCAATCATTAACTGAGAAACACTTTTAAGAGAACCCAACAATCGCAATGCATGCTTTTATAGATGAAATACATGATGCGCTTGAAGGAAAGATTCTAGGTATTGAGGCTTTATTGGTTTACCTTTACAAATTGTGACTTGGATGGAGAGTTGCCTCATTGGGACTCATACCACATTTTCTTATATCTATTGACGTTGTTTATTATGTTCTTTTAATTTGTCCTTGTGTTTTTTTAACCTTTACTGTTTACTCTATTCTTTAGCGTGGTTCAGTATTCATATGCTTTGTCTATAGAGGAACTTTGTGTCATTGTGTTTTTCTTTGTATACATATTTCTTTGTTCTTATAGTGATTAAGATTATAACATAATTTTGACTGCTTTACTCCAATTTTTGACACTTTTACCCTTTCTGTCTGTTTGTTTTGCTCACACATTGCTGTCATTATAATGGAATTCTATTTGACTATCATACAAGGGAGAGGTTTAATCGACAATTTGTTTATATGAGGAAAGGCCTGTATCAAGTCAGGAATATGACAGTTGTTTTTCATTTGTTTGACGTGATTCAGTTTTGGATTTTGCCTTTTGATAAAGGACTTTCCATTTTGAATCTGCCTTACTGGTCAATCAACTCGTTATGGCGTCCGTGAAAAAATCGTAAGGATGATTTCAACTTCACGACTTGTAACTCCTGGTCTAGAAGCTTCCATCAAATAAATCATGATTGGAAACGCAAGCTCTGGAATATTGTATCATCGGGGATATATATACTCCATATGCAGGCACTTCTGGAATGATTGCTACATAGACACAATGATAGAAATAGAAACTTCACATCTGGAAACTGAAATCATCCCTTTTGTCGTAAAGTTATATTCCCAAATAGTAAAATAACAAACATACCGAACTCCAAGGAAAATTCAAAATTTAAGTTCCTTATAAAGTGGCTAAATCGAAACACATCAAACGAATATAAAACAAATGTACTGAACCGCATTGTCACTTTCTAAATGTAAGTCAAGATATTAAACAGATTTTTCAACTGATTTTTACAGTTCGTTCTTATGTTGTTCTTTTACATCACTGTCCCAGGTTAGGTGGAGGGTTGGGATCCCGCTAACATGGTTAACCCATCCACCTTATGTATGCATGTACCTGTCCCACGTCAGGCATCACACCACAGTTAGGTGTGTAGTTTCGCATTTTGGCCCCTGTGGATTTTTCAAATATGAGAGCTAGTGTGCAATAAATTGTACAAAAACATGAGGCGAATAACACCCATTTTTTATTTGATCATTGGGTAAAGTAATATCAACAGTTTCAGAAAAGTTATCACTTAAAGACATTGAAATTCTAATTTGAACCAAATGTTGGGAGAAAATGTGACATTTTCATCTCCCTTTTTGCAATATTTTATGGAAAATAAATGCAAAATGTGGCCATGGATTCACAAAAAAGGAATTATATATTTAACTTTTGAAAATCAAATCTATGAAAGATACTGATTACATACATATGCACATATATGACACAAACAGTTGGCTTAATGTATTAGAAAGCCAGGAGTAGAAGATTATTAAACATTTTGTGGTTCAATTTTAATTTTATTTTCTAACAGTGGAGTGCTACCTTATGGCACACCAGAAAGCACAGAAATACACTTTTTAAGATAAATTTTACCACAAATCTTTTGTTTCTGTTAGGTTCTTATTTTAGTTCTGAAGGGAAAAAATCTGCTAGGATGGCAAAACATTTTAATCTTATTGTTTACTGTCCCAAGCAACCAAATATACACATTTTGACACTAAGACATGTTTTGGTCTTAAATTTGTACTCTATTAGCTTCGCCCTTGTAACCAAAGATTGCGCTTTATATGATAGCCTCAGAATGTATCGCTTTATATTTTTGCATGCGAATAAGTCAAATAAACATTTTTAGCAGGATTTTATATTTATAATTTGGCATGAATTAAATTTAGATATGCCAGTGCTGTTAGAAATTTATACCCTAATTGAGAGTTTCGAAACCAGGGTTTTGTATGCTTTTTACAGCAAAACTGACCTATAAGTGCTTTCAAATACCTAAAAATTGTACACTTTTTCCTCTTTTAAGGTAATTTTATGATTTCAAACAGAAAACAGGGAAAGGTTTTGAAATTTATCCCAAAAATGAGACAGACTTGAGGTTTTACACTTTGATCAAGCATTTTTTTTTATTAGCTTTTGTCGCGTTTCAAAATCAATTGCTAACCTTCATAAAATCTTTATTACTGAAACAATTTCAAAAACTAAGGTACCACTTTAATCGTTACAGTTAGTAGAACGCAGACAATTTATTAAAATGTGAGGCAGGGGGAAAAATTTCATATTGAGGTAGCACACCACAGTTAGGTGTGTAGGTTAGCATTTTGGCCACTGTGGATTTTTCAAATATGAGAGCTAGTGCGCAATAAAATTCATTTTTGGATAGCTGAAGATTAAACTAGTCTTCGTAGTGGGTTTATAGGAACATCAAGATAATGTTATGTATGTAATACGGGCTGTTTTCTGTATGACAGTCCGTATTTTGATATCCATACCAAACATTGGTCCGGCAATTATTATTCTTTTTTTTCCAACGTTTTGTCGCACGAACTTTGTGATTAATTTTACGAAAAGACGCCAATTTTTTATTTGATCATTTGGTAAAGTAATGTCAACAGTTTCCGAAAAGGTATCACTATACAAGTCAGGAATATGACAGTTGTTGTCCATTCGTTTGATGTGTTTGTGCTTTTGATATTGCCATTTGATTAGGGACTTTCCGTTTTGAGTTTTCCTCGGAGTTCAGTATTTTTGTGATGTAACTTTTTAAAGGCATTGAAATTCTAGTTAGAACCAAATTTTGATGAAAATGTGCCATTTTCATCCCCCTTTTTGCAATATTTTGTGGTAAATAATGCAGAATGTTGCCATGGATAAAAACAAAAAAGAAGGTAGGCAGATCCTGCTCCATATGTGGCACATGTTTGTTTAGTAAACGATCTATGAATGAGAGGCAACATAATCTATCAATGTTAAAATTTCCCCATTTCATCATGCATTCAAAAATTAAGATAAAAAGAAAGAGTGAAAATTGATAAAGCGTCATTGCTGGTGGACTATCATTTTCCGAGGGTACAATCCGCCCATAATCCAAGGTTCAATTCTGTAAAAAAACTAAATATGCGTTTTGTATTTTAATCAAAGGCAGTTTTTTTTTGTATTTTTGATTTTAAAAGAGAGGCAAAAGATACCAGAGGGACATTAAAACTCATAAGTCGAGCCGAGGCTAAAAAAGATAAAAAGACAAACAGACAGAGAATAGTACAAAACATAACATAGAAAACTAAAGACTAAGCAACACGAACCCCACCAAAAACTGGTAGTGATCTCAGGTGCTCCAGAAGTGTAAGCAGGTTCTGATCCACATTTGACACCCGTCGTGTTACTCATGTTAGTACAAACACGGTAATAAGTCTAATTGGGTAGGTTACATTCGGGAAAAGGGGACGACATTAGGAATATATCCGTTGCGTTTAAACATAAAGTACAACAAAAAATCCGAAATCCAAGGTAAATTCATAAAAACTGACAAACTTAAACGTTATCAACCAATGAAACATGTGGAAAACAGCTGTCATATTCCTGACTTGGTACACATATTTTCTGAAAAAATTAAACCTTATCCATGACTTTTTTAAAAAATATTACACAAGTATTTTTGTTCCTTGATAGGTGATGTAAAGCATAAGCTGGTAAAGCTGCATGTTAGGTGGTTAAATTCAAGTCTTTCATATGATTACTGACTGGGGTTTTATGTTTGTTGACTAATGCTAAAACTTTGAAAAACACAGATAAAACAGATACATGCGCGTTTCGTCTACAAAAGACTCACAATGAAACTAGTATGTTTTTTTTTATGTATTTCTTGAATGTATCTTATTACCTTTATATTTGAAAACGTTTTCTTTCTACTAATCGATTAGAGTAGTGAGATTGCGAAGACTAAGATTATTCAATGGAAAATATAAGGAGCAATTATTGATGATACATCTGGTATGCACGATCTAGTTAACGATATGTAAAGTTGTCAAAAGAACAGTTGAGTTTTATGGATTTCTTATTACAAGCGTTTTTAAT